AGATATCTTATCATTCCCCCTCAAACTTTAGGGACATGGAAGAACCTGAAGTTTGCCTTGAAGATATTGAAATCGAGAGATGGAAAGAGGTTTGGTGAAAATGTCTGCAATCTGATCAGTGGAAGCAATATGACAAATAAGAAGCTTTTTGGCAGCCACTCTTTCTCTGACATAGTGATAGTCAACCTCAATGTGTTTTATCCTAGCATGCAAAACTAGATTGTGTGCCAATGCTATAGCAGACATGTTATCACACTAGAGAGTGGGCACACAGATAGACACATGGAGCTCAGCAAGAAGCATGCCAAGCCAGCTTAATTTAGCAGAGACTTGAGCCAAAGCTCTGTATTCTGCTTCTAAAGATGATCTAGAGACTGTGGGCTTCTTTTTAGCACACTAAGAAACAAGATTAGGACCTAGAAACACACAATGACCTGTAGTAGATCTTTTATCAATAATATTGCTTGCCCAATATGAATTTGAGAATGCATTAAGAACAAGAGGACCATTGGTAAAGTGAAGGCCATGACTTAATGTGCCTTTGACATATCTGAGAAGTCTCTTGAGGGTTGTAAAATGACTTTGCAGAGGATTTTGCAAGAATTGGCAGGGATGATTAACAGAAAAACTATGATCCGGTTGAATGATGGTCAGATATTGAGGGGCTCCCACTAAACTTCTATAAAAACTGGACTGAAAGAAAAGAGAATCAGTGCCAACAGAGAGAACATCCTTAATAGCCATAAGAGAGGCATAGAACTTGCAATCACTCATATTAGCCTTAGCTAAAATATCTGAAGCATACTTTTCCTGGGACAAAACATAGCTTGAAGAAGAAGAAAAAGAAGAAGAGACGGAGATGCCCAGAAAATAATTGAGAGCTCCCAATTCTTTCATAGAAAATTTAGCATGCATTTGTTGAATAAGAGTGGAAATATAAAGAGAATCACCACCAGTGAGAAGAATATCATTAACATAGACAAGAAGAATGGTAATGGAAGTAGAAGTTTTCTTAACAAATAAAGAAGAATTACAAAGACTAGGGATAAAAAAAAAAAAAATTTAAAAAGAGGAGAAAGTGGAGAAAAAAAAAAAAGATTAGGGTTAGAGTTTTGTTTTGATGGCTCCATTAATTCTCTAAATATTTCTTTGATTTTTAAAATAATATTGTGAATACAAGATCCACTTCCCTTGAATTATGTTTAATTCATTGTTTTTATTTTTATTTTTTTATTTATTTGATGTTAGTTCGATTTTGTATTTATATAAAGATGATAATTTGATTTTAATTATATTGATTAGTGGTATAAGTAAGGTTTAGGGTTTTTAGATGATTGATTGATTTTAATTATTTTGTTTAGTTTTGTATGTAAGGTTTAGGATTATTAGTTGATTGATGAATTTTAATTATTTTGATTAGTTGTGTATGCCATGTTTAGGGTTTTTATATGGATTTATTTTATGGTTGTAATCACATTCATGGTCATATGAAATTAAAATAAATTAGGAATCCATAGATAAATTCCTTATACTCTACCATGACTCCATAGATTGTTGTTTTATTTGAGTGTTGGTGAGAAAGATTGTATAAAAAAAAATGAGGATTATGAAATTTATTTGAATGCCTTAGGCTTTATTCTCATGAGTGACATGTTGTGTATATATATATTGTTGCCTCGTTCTTATGAGTAAACGAGTGCTTTGATTTATGCGCGTACGTATATGCTAACCATCCGGGGAGTGTGAGTCAAACTCAGGACGATATCCCCGTGCAAGTTTGGCATCGGAGCGGTGTTAGGTATACAGGAGGCACATGGGATATATGTGTAGGCCGAAAGTGGTGGAGTTAAGGTATAAAGAATTTAATTATGAGATGATTGTTATAGTGTGTATTGTATTGATTTGTATAGGTTGAAAAATAGTAAACGCCTTCGATAAATTATGAAATTTGATCAGAGGCGTGTATACATGATTCTAGACAACTTTTGTGTTTTAACTTTTTATTAAAAAGATCGATTAGAACTTATAATCGGATGACCTTGGTTATTGTAGTTTTGATTCATTTTGGCAATACAGATTTTAGAGGTTGTTTTAACCCATGAAACGAGCTCATTTTTTTTGGTTTCACGTAAACTGAAATAAAACATTATTTTGCTTTTCATGTTTTGAACTTTTCCGAAAAAAATCATCTAAGGGCAGTTTTTATTCCTTTTCAGCTTCAGATTTTTCGATTGAATTCCGTCTAGATTTTTCTATCAAGTTTTTCTCTCAACCTGTTCAGTTTCTATTAAATTCGTTTGTGTTGTCTTTTAGGAAATTTGATTCTGTACAACTTTCATTCTTTGAGTTTGGGTTAATTCGAATTATTTAAGCATAAAACGGTGCATTTTTATACTTCTTCAGTAAGTTACTTATGATTAAATTATACTAACTTTATTTTTTTTGCAGGATGGTGGGTCTTACTAATTTTTTTATGCAGGGCAGGGCTGACCCACCATATTTTTATTTCTATTTTGATTATTTTATAATCAATTTATATTTCGTTGTGTACGGACAAGAAACTGAATGCCACCGTATCTCGAGAAACTACCCATTTGTCTCGGTGCGGTTGGAACTACTTGTCTTGTCCAGTAATAAGAATTTAATGTATTTTTGTTTGTGTCTGGTGGACGTGTGGGTGTTGAATCTTGTACTCATACCAATATATCTATATACTGACCCGTTTTGTCTCTTCGCAACTCAGGTGCGTTCTGTTTGAGCGCCGCTGAGCATCCTTTGCAGGATTAGTTGAGGCTATGGTGGTGACAAAAAATAACTATGATCGTAGAACATGTCGTTTAGACTTCTTTTGTTTTCTTGAGCTTAAGGTTGATACTAGTTTATGTATTTTTTTTTTTATGACTTTAGTATTGGAATAATTTGGCATGGTTTGTAACCGTACTTTATTTAAGTTGTATTGACTAGTTGTTGCTACCTTAATGTTGAGGTATTGGTTAGTTATGAAATTTATGGTGGATGGTTTGGTTAGCGTTTAGTTTTTTTGTTTCTAGTTGAGTTTAATTTTAGTCCTACAAACATTGTAGAAGAAGAAGAAAAAGAAGAAGATCTAATGATGATACTAAATCTAAATGCTCCTCATTTGCTAAATCTGAATCTCTAGTTGAGTTTAATTTTAGTCCTACAAACATTGTAGAAGACGGTAAAGAATGGACTCATCTGATGATGATACTAAATCTAAATGCTCCTTATTTACTAAATCTGAATCTCTAGTTGAGTTTAATTTTAGTCCTACAAACATTGTAGAAGAAGAAGAAAAAGAAGAAGATCTAATGATGATACTAAATCTAAATGCTCCTCATTTGCTAAATCTGAATCTCTAGTTGAGTTTAATTTTAGTCCTACAAACATTGCAGAAGAAGAAGAAGAAGATGATGATGATGATGATGATGGAATCACATAACTCCATGCCCATGGATACAACTTGTTTGAATCAAATACCTAATTGGAGTTCTTCAAAGCCACTAAACCCACAAACCAAAATCAATGGAACAATCAGCCCAAAAATCTTTAAAGAAGATGATGACAAACACCACCATGAACACAACCTTCTCTCTCTCTTTCTCTCTCTCTCTCTCTACAACTCACTCTTTTCTTTCTCTATATAGGCATGCATATAGATAGATAGATATATAGGCATGTGTATAGATAGATAGATAGATACAAACTGTTTTTATTTTGGTTTGGTTTTTTTATTTATTTATGGGAGGGTTATGGATTTTCTCTCTTTTTCTTGGTGAAGTGAAGAGAAAGAGCATTTTTGCCTTTTGATGTTAATGTGTTTTTGTTTTTGTGACATTGAAAGTGAATTACACTGGACTTTTATTTGAGTCTAGAGAAAATTAAAAGCTTGTTATTACAATTCAGAGAAAATATAATTATTACAAATTTTTCTACACTTTTATGTTGTGCTTTTTATGTGTTTTTATATTGAACAAGTTATGTTAGACATAGATTTCGATGATTTTATTTATATTATGTTTTGACTTTGTTTGATGAATTAGTTTAATCAAAATGTTATAAATTATCCATATTAATTCATCCTATTATTTTGTGGCTTTTGAAGGTGAAAATCAAGCCCAAATTCAACACAAAAATAGCCACAAACAGCCCCAAATTCAGCACAAAAACAGCCACAAAATAGCCCGAAACAGCAGCAAAAATAGCCCAAAAATAGCAACAAAAATAGCCCAAAACAATAGCAACAACACAAGCAGTGTCACGACCTAAACCACGCCCCGGAAAGGTCGGCGAAGTGATTGCCAGTAATCTGTTGATTACCAAAGGCCTTCCTGTACAAATCAAAAATAAACGGGGCTAGCGGAAACAATAACACAAAATACTAAAAATAGTCCATTGAGTTGTGCAACTATATGAACAAACATGTACATACATATAAATGTTAATCTACTCGTATACAAAAATAATATCTGTAAGATCTTGTACAAAACAATTTTATACATACATATAGACATGCCCCAAACTTAACATGAACATGAGCAAACTTTGACAATGCATCTACGGCCTCTCGGGCTAGCCCCAACTCGGAGGCACCAAAACCGACTCCAAAAGTTCTAGGTTGTGGCTTGACTTAGGGGTTTCCTCTAACTTGCTCCTCATGTCGCTCACCTATAACATATAAATACATATAGTGAGCTAAAACCCAGTGAATAACATAAATATAAAGAGGTTAGTGAATGAATGCCATCACCATTGCTAATACAGAACAAAACATAACATATCATTCGTAGCATATCAGAAAATAATAATGGTACATCCAAAGGAACATATCGTAACGCCATCCGACTAGAGTCATCGGTCCCGGACACCGATGAAACACATATCACCACTATGAAGTGGCTAATGAGATCTCGTATATATATATATATATATGCCATGGACCCACACTAACGTGCCGTCCCCCATGACTTGGGACTATTTCTGAATACCATACTAGATTCGTAAACTGGTGTTCGTTCGCAGATCAAAACACATTTCAAAAAAACACATAGCATATCTTATAGCATTCTTAGCATTTTCGAAAATAAATCATAGCAACATATCTTGACAAAAATATTACTCATAGTGCTGGGCGTCCTGCACATGTGATGCAATCTTGGACTTGCAACCTACAGCCACAATGTACATAACGCAACACATGACTTAGCATAACACATGCAATGCACTTGAAACTCGTGAAAATCATGCAATTTGGGCCCTAGAAAGCAAAGAAAACAGAAAGGAACAAAAACCAAAAAACATTATTTGGCGGCACGTGCGGTGGCCTTGGCGGCATAAGCGGTGGAACTTCAGAATGCCATTTGGCCAAAAATAGGTTTGGCCGCTCGAGTGGTGGCCTGGGCCGCTCCAACGGTCTGGGTAAAATTTCAGGCCGAAAATCTGCTTTGAAATAGAGCTTAAGGGTTACAAAATTCAACTTCCTTTTTATGCAAATCAAGGCCCAAAACACTTGAAACCATGCTCCAAAGTGAAGTTTATTCCGTCACGCCCCAAATTTTAATTACACGAAACATTACCAAAGCCTTTAATTTAGGTCTTTTTTTTATATAAATATCTATTACTCTTGAGTAATAGAAATACAATAATACATATTCTCTCTCTCAATGAATATTACAATGATAACAATACATGCCAATCCCCTACTATGAAGCTACAAATAAATAATTACAAATACATGATCCATTTCATTTACATCTACTATGAGGTTATACAAATAAACTCAAGGAATCCATAACTCTTCAATCAAAGAATCCAAACTTTCTTCCTGTAAAAAGATAAAACAACAAGGGGTGAGCACTAATGCCCAGTAGGAATCTCATAGTTCTGAATTAATAACTTACACATAGATAGAAATAATCATGCATGCAGGGTGATACCATATAGTAGGGTGACATTTTATAATTTCAAAATATCATAAGTAAGTACCTTTTCTCAAAAATTATTTAAATGTTTTTAAGAAAGACTTTCAACCATTAAAAATTATCCCTTAACCTTAGAAAACCATAGATCCTTGTGAAATAAATATATTTGGGGAACAACATCATTTAGAAATTATTAGCCAATCCCAAATATTTCTCATTTAACTTCCATTTTTAATATTCCTCTTTTTCTTTCATTCTTCCTTTCTACTCATTATATTTAGAACTCCATAACTTCAAGTTCAAGTCCCCTCTTTAATTTACGAACAATTCTCCTATACTCAATTCACATTGTCATTGACACTCTCAAATTTCAATTCAAGATACTACAAGATTAATAAACCCCTTTTCAATTTAGTCTTTCATTTATTTACAAAACAACACACATAAGTTACCTTTATTGTCACAACTAATTCATTAAGTTCACCATCACCAATCCACAATCCCCTTACCCATTTTTGGGTTCCATTCTTTACAAATAATGTCTATGTACATTTCCTCTTTATAACAAATTACACATCAATTTGCAATTTCACATATTCACCACAAGTCACAAATAACATCATCACGTAAAACACTTCTCGACACACATCTCAACACAATCCACCTTTTGCCGACTTACTACGACGGGATTGCAGGCACCCAATTCACAACACTTTCCACCTTTTGCCGGCTACTATACGGCGGGAAGTGAACTCCCAAAAACCATTTTCTCAAAGGCCAATTTCTTCCAAAAACCATATTTCTCCAAAAATCATTTTTTTCAACTTTTTAAAACCATCCCCTACATTTGCCGGCTACTATATGGCGGGACGTGGGCACCCAAAATATTTTCGAAAACCATCCGTTTTTTCACTTTTGTCGGCTACTATACGGCAGGACTGTGTGGACACTCAAAAATCATTTTTCCACTTTTGCCGGCTACTATACAGTGGGACTGTGTGGACACCCACAAAATCATTTTTCCCATATTCGCCTAGATAAGCCTAGACAGGGCAATTAGACACCTTTAATTCAAAACCACCCCCACATTTGCCAGCTACTATACGGCGCGACGTGGCCCCCAAAAACCTTTTTCAACTCCCCCGCGCGGGTACCAACACAACACCACCCAACATAACTCAACCCAACTCGACACAACCCAACACAACTCAACTCAACTTGACACAACCCAGAACAACTCAACTCAACACGACTCATCAAAACCCAACACAACTCAAAATTATTCAACACAATTCAATATAATCAACACAATTCATCATAATCAACACAATTCAACAAGATTCAACACAATTTATTTCTACATAATTCAAGGTGAACTCTTAAATCTCCATTTTCTCATTTCGTCCCAAGGCTCATGTCATCCATATCATTAACAAATCCTTTTTCCCAAATTTCATTTCATATTATAGCATGATTTACAATATCCATAATAAATGTTCAATCGCTAATTTTTAACATAATTTTCAAACACTTCCAAAATCCAATTAAACTTGTATATATATAATTTAATATCTCAATTTCATGATTTTACTTTTAATTTGGACAAAATCATTAATTTTCATCATGAATCAACCTAGGATTTTTCAAGAAAAATCAAGACTTTCAAAAAAAATTAAAACTTCTCATACCACTACTTTTTATTACAATTTTTCCATTAACTATACACCTAAGGTTCATAATCCACAATCTTAACCCAACAATCGAAACCCAACACTTCAAACCCTAAGCCCCCAAATCTCATGATGTACACTATATGCTTAAAAATGTAGATTTTGTATTTATATAATCAAAATACCACAAATCTATCTATTAATACAAGTATTGAAGAAGAACTAGGACCTTTACCACAAGAATCAAGCAAAAGAGAAAAGCTTTGATGAGATTCCTTCACAAATCCAAACTTCAATCGGTTGAAAAGTGAGATTTTGAAGCATTCTTCACTTTTTTGTAAGGGATCTTGGACAAATCTTTGAGAAATGAGAGGTATTTGGGTCAAACGTTTAGGGTTTTTCAGACTTAGGATGAGGGAAAGGAAGAGGGAAAAGAAAAGTGGAGAGAATGATCTAGAAAAACACTTTTTAAGTTGCTGAAGACACGCAATTCGCTCGAGCGTCGCTTTTCCGGCTCGAGCGTACCTGCTTCCAGCACAGATTCCAAAACTTCAAACAGACATAACTCTCTCATCCGGACTCCGTTTTAGATCGTTCTTGTGTCCAAATCGAAGCCCCGAAAACAAGATTTTCAATGGTTCTAGCCTCATATCCAAATTCAAAGTGTGGAAAAAGAAAAGGGCAAAAGAGTGACGGCTATTCGTAGGAAAATTATCTGAATTAAAGTTTTTGGTCCAATCTTACTTTACCATCTTATTACCACTTCGATTAATGTCCCAAAATAAAAGTAGGGAGGCTCCAAACACCACAATAAAAGGTCAAAAACAATCCCACTAGTCTCAGAAATTCAAACTCAACTAGGC